GTGTCGGTGGTGTGTGGATGAGGGGGGGGGGGGGGGGGGGGGGGGGTTCAGCGATGTTGCCGCTGGTGCCACTTCTCGTGGGCGTCGAGTCCGATCCTTGAGCCGCACACTCTTCCACAGATGGAACAAGGGAAACCAGATACCAAGGGGGTACCAGCCGCACTCTGGTGTCTCTTGGTGCGTCGGTCTTGGTTGGTTTGATGTATTTGAGAGACTGCAGTGGCACAGGTGACCTGCCAGGCTGACCTGTTGAGTGCCAGAGATTCGAGCTGCATGGGGGGAATGTTTGCTCGTTTTAGGAGGTCCCTGGTGTAGTCCTTAAAACGCCGTTTTTGCCCTCCAGCGGAGCGCTTTGCGCCCATTAGTTGACTGTAGAGGACTTGGCGAGGCAGGCGGTGTTCAGGCATGCGTATGGTGTGCCCTAGCCAACGCAGATGTTTTTGGGTCACTGCTGCTTCCATGCAGATTGAGTCAGTGTTGCTGAGGATGACTGTGTGGGGAATTCGAGCTTCCCACGACAAATTGAGGATCTTCTGTAGGCAGCGGATATGGAAGTCCTCCAGGTTAGTAATGTGCTGGCGGTATGGGGTCCATGCCTCTGCCCCATAAAGCAGAGTGGAGAGACATACCGCATTGTAAACAGCGACCTTGGTACTGATCTTCAGGTTACGGTTTTCAAAAACCCTACTGCGTAGGCGTCCAAAAGATGATGAGGCTTTATTTATTCGGGTGTGTATTTCTGTGTCAAGGGAGCAGCATGAGGACAAGGTGGAGCCGAGGTAGGTGAAGTGGTCCACTGTTTTAAGTGGAACACCATTTATGTGAAAACTGGGGGGGTATGGGGGCAGGGGTGGAGAGATAGGACATGACCTCGGTTTTTTGAGTGTTAACCTGTAGACCAAAAGATTGGTACAGACTAGATATTGTATTTAGGGCGTGCTGCATAGAGTCCGGGCTGTGGGCCAAAACGGCACAGTCATCAGCATACTGAAGCTCACAGATTTGGCGGGACTTTATCTTTGTGCGGGCCTGGAGTCGACGGATGTTAAAGAGGCTACCATCAAGGCGATATTCCACCTGGACACCGTCTTCATGCCCCATGACACGATGGAAGAGGCAGGTGATGGCAGAGAGGAGGATGTTAAAGAGCACCGGAGCCAAGACACAGCCTTGCTTCACCCCAACATTTACCTCGAAAGACTCATGCAGGAGTTCTCCCGTGAGTACTCTGGCTTGCATCCCATCATGCAGCTGCTGTAGGATGCTAAGAAACTTGGGTGGTACCCCAAGTTTGGAGAGGTTTCTCCAGAGCAGCTCACGGTTGATGGTGTCAAAAGCTTTGCTGAGGTCGATGAAGGCTACGTAAAGGTCTTTGTGCTGTTCTCGACTCTTCTCCAGCAGCTGCCTCAAGACAAAAACCATATCTGTCGTGGATCTTGACTTCCGGAAGCCACACTGCGTTTCCGGAAGCACAGCTTCCGAGATGTGCTCGACCAATCTGCTGAGCATGATCTTGGCCAGGACTTTCCCTGCGATGGAGAGGAGAGATATCCCGTGGCTATTACCACAGACTCCTCTGTCTCCTTTCTGCTTGTAAATGACCATGATGTTAGCATCCTTCCAGTCCTGTGGAAGGGACCCATGTTCCCAGATGTTTTGGATCAAGAGATGCAGACGATGCGTGAGGATATATCCTCTGTGTTTGAAAACCTTTGCAGGGATTGCATCGGGTCCAGCGCATTTGTTGTTCTTCAGCCCTGCAATGGCTTGCCGGAGTTCAGAGTAAAGTGGTGGGGTGTCCAGGTGCACGGTTGGTGGCAGGTCTGGCAGATTATCCAGGATATGTGGATCAGCAGGGTTGGTGAGTTTGAAGAGACTCTCAAAATGATTTCCCCAACGTGCAAGAATCTCGTGGCGATCCTTGAAAAGCGTGGACCCGTCAGCTGATCGAACTGGGGCGATCGCCCGTTTCCTGGGGCCATACAGTGCTTTCAAGGCATCGTAAAAGCCTTGAGTGTTATTGCAGTCTGCCATGTTCTGAATTTCTTGTGCCTTTTTCACCCACCAGGTGTTCTCCATAGTCCGGAGGGCTCGTTGG